AGTAACGTGCATGGACGTGTGTTAAAAGTACATTTTATCAGCTTTACTGCAGATGAAAACTACGTTAAGATTAATCTCCCCCTTCCTCACACATCTTCAAAAGCAATGGCCTTTTTCTTATTTTCCACCACAAACGAGTGGCATCAAAGTACATTGTGGCCTAAATTTGAGCAGCAAAGTCATTAAAATGAACAACTCTTGTTTTCCATGACAAAAGGAAGGAAGATTGCTTGTATTCACCTCGCACACAAATCAACACTCACAACCACACATGCAGCGTGTGAACACACCACCTCTTTACAAGCTAGGAAACTCTTTTTGACGTTTTCAGCAATTTGTAAACCTCAAGGGAGCAGGGGCAGTGCAAGCAGGGACTGGAAGTGACAAAGTAACTAAGATGTAACCATGCCTCCCCTCTTTTTTCCCTTAACTGAAAAATGACAGTGAGGGGAAGGGGTGGGAGGACTAAACAAGTGTCTGAATCCATGGAAGCGACGGGGTCCTCACAATTAAAATCAGGGAGGGAGACATAACGACGGGTGTGATGGCTTGTTTCATGTGTGGCTGGGAGGGGGGAATTTGCAAATGAGGGCCCTTTTCTCTCCCTCTCAGTCTATCTGACTTTCTCTCCCCCTCATCTTTCGAGCACTCGATCAGCAGGCCTTTAATTTCAGGCAACAATCAGTGAGTGCCTCCCAACAAAGAGCTCGTGTTGGGATGCTTCCTCATCAGCCAGGCTTGTGCTCTGCTCTGTGGCTGGCAAGCTGTTTTGACTGTTTTGTACAAATACTTGTGAAAGCTACATGATCACACAGAAAACTAGTCGATACGTTCATTAGCCGATTGACAGAAATGTGATAAAATCAATGTTGAGAATCAACTTTATTACTTTATCTATTATTTTTAGTCCACCCTTGTGCCACCTCGAGGCCCACATCTTTGGTTTTTAGTAGGTTTTCGGACTTGATCACTATCTGAGTCCTTTGATATTGGGTATCTGCCAATATGGAGTCTAATCTAATACTCACTCATAATCCTTAACTTATATTTTCCTAAATGTTGATTAAATATGCAGACCATCTGTCACACTGAAATAACAGGTGTATCAGCCTACTGAATGTGGGACTACTTATTTGTCAGGAGCTTGATCGATAACATGAATGAACGTTTAAATGGAGAGTGGTACTCTGAAATTGACACGCTTTACAAGAGAAGAGGTATCACTCTGTGTGGGAACTACCCTCGCAGTTGTACGGTGGTGTTGCAGAGATGACAAATGATCTTTGGCGGAGCACCAGCATGCAGAGAGCACTTTAATCTGACAACAGACAAGTCGTCCTGTTTAATGACGTTTGTCATTTTAACAAGTGAAAGTGATGGTCAGTGCAGGTTAATAATGAGAGGGCACTGGCAGTGTGTCAGTTGATTTTGCCATCCTCTGTGTCAGAAGTCAGACGCATTAGCACCAGTGCACAATTTTGAGATGATCAGTCTGATTCTGTCATGGTCTTGGTTTGAGTTCTGTTTTATTTTAAAACTTGTGTCTTAGTCTACTTTATTTCTTATCTGTCTTCCCGGTTGATTGCCTAACGTGCCTCACATGAGTGTGTGTCTTAGGGCTGGTCGAAGATTCGATGCTTCGATGGGCGGAGCCTGATTCGACTGTCAATCTGACAGTCGAAGCTTCGCAGCGGAACAAGGATCGTGCCATTTTGGCGATATGGGGGTGCTCAACGTATGATTTTACTACCAGTTTTCTCCCAATAAGTGAATGTTCAGCCTATTACAATATACATTTCAAGGTTTAATGCTGTAAACAAACATGTAAAAAGAAAAAACTTCCAATAAATGTTTTTAAAAGTGTGTAAATAAATCCAAAATTGTGACCCTAACCCTGAGTCGTCAGTGCGCATGTGTAGGCGTAGCGTGTGTGCGTGTATGTGGTGGCGGAAGACGAACACTTGCTGGGGAGACGGAGCTCCAGCTTCACTGGTGTTGTGCCGAGTTGTCCGCACCTCGCGGGACTTTCGGATAATTTATCACCGTTGATGCACCACACAAAGAATATTTTATCGTTTTTAAATAGTCGGCTTTATTCCCACATTATTCAACTATCAGTACCCATGTCTGGATTTCTTTTTGGATTCCTTTGTGTTGGATTCTGTTCGGTTTTTCGCCTCCCTGACATTGGTTGTAAGTTGTGTACTTTATGTTAATAAACTCTGATAAAGAGAACCTGCTCTGCCTTGTGCCTAATTCTCTATGTCTGCGCTTGGTTAAAACGATTCAGCTTCCTAGTTTCCTACTTCTCCCTCAATTCTATCACTATGAACTTTGACACTGAATAGCCACGTTTCCATCTAATTGTCATACGAATTTTAAGCTGACTTTTGAAATGTCGCAAAAAAGAAAAAAGAAAGTAAATGCGAAATATGTGCATTTCCATCAGCTGGTTTGGAGCCGCCTATTACATTGGAATAAACCAGGCTATGGCGCATAAACCAGGCTACGGCGAGCGTAGTTACGTCAGTAGTTGACGTTACACATGGCTGTAATAAACAAGATGGGGGTTCCCAACCAGAAACAAAACCAGTGATGGCCTTGGAAAAATGGAGAGAGGTCCTCAGGAATGTGTTTCAAGCGGGCAAGTTGCTAGCAGCCATGTGTCCGCATGTTATGGGAATATCCGGCCTTGAGCTGATGAGGAGTGGACCACAGAGGTCTGGTGAACTCCACACAGCTCCCTATGGAGCAACAAAAGGCTTTATACAACATATTTCACATAGAGTACTCCACAACACTTGTAAACAGATTATGATGTGGAAAATAGGTGGATTTACCCTTTTAGGTTAGAGGAGCATCATGGTTATGGTAAAAAAAAAAAACAGCCACGTGATGCTGGCTCCAAAAGCGAGTCAACCTCCATAGACCTCCATGTTAAAATGTCCAACTTCACAGCTTAAATAAACATGCCTAAAGCATGGTAAAAAAAAGAGTAGAAGTACAGACGCACGCTCCACCTCTTTGCCCATTTCTGGAGTAGCCAAGGTGAAGACGGCGACGGCCAGAGCCCACATTGAGCTTCACAGCGCTTCAGAAACGTATGGGTGACTTCACAGAGACTAGCCTATGGCGCTGGATGAACGAAGTCAGTTAATTTTTTAATTTGAAGATATTTTTGGGGCATCTTTTGCCTTTATTTGATAGCAGAGTGGATGAAGAGATGAAAGAGGGAGACAGATATGGAGCGACACGCAGCAAAGGGCTACAGGATGGATTTGAACCCGGGACGCTGCAGTAAACACTGAACTAACAGCAACCATTATTTACTTTACTTTATTTGTTTATATAATAGGTGCAGAGCAAATTAATGAAATCAGTAAAAAATAAAAACATGCAAGAATTTATCAAGAATGCTAATTCACATCCATAGTTCCTTGTCAGGGAAAGTATACAGATGCAATACACAAGTAGAAAAGGACAAAACAGGCAACATGTCAAGTAAAGATCGATCACTCCTCAGGTTACTAGGCTGTTTCAAATAGGAGACCTTTAGACAGTTGGTTGGACAAAACAAGTATCTCAACCTCTGGGAGGTTGAAATGGAATTATTTTACAATTCTGCCATAATTTACAGACTAAACAGTTTTTGCTACTGATTAAAAAAAACAGTTGTGGAGATAAACATCCAAAATACACCTGCTGTCACGCTACAGCCCATGAGTACTGCTTGGACATCCTTCTCTTCACACCTCCACCATCTTTTTGAAACACGCAGATTCATCCCTCTCAAAGGTCAGATGAGGAATGACTCATGTACTCCCCACGAGGGTATGCTTTATGTGTCTCATACCAGGCACAGGAGTAGAAATCAGCAGAGAGGGCCATGGGTTTTTTTTTAAAACAAAAACCTTGCAGTCCTCAAGAGGGTGGCAGGGCCTGAGGCCACTGGGGTATGTGCTTTATATTTAGCACGAGAGGAGGAAAGAGCAGCAACTGTATAATAAGCAGGATAACAGAACAAGTTGAACTTTGACCTCGGTTCCCTTTTATAGAAGACACTGGCAACCTTGGGAGGGCGAAACAGGAGATTGATGACAGTCATTTTGCTTAATGAGCTCACGAGTGAACTGTCCCTCCCTCTGAAGGGAGGCCAACAGTCTCTCCTGCTCAAGGTAAAAAAAGACAAATGTGATCTGCAGCAAAATCACCCCTCTCCATCCTACCTCGTACACATCAATTATAACAGGAATGAACATCATCTTTCCTTCAATCTACTTCTAAAAATAGCAACAGATATGGGTGATGGTGAGAGTCCGTGCATGCGTAAGAATTGGTCCGATAAGACGTGGTTACATATGACATGAAAGCGTTTCATAATTTTAAGGTCAGCTACACATGGATGTTTTCAACCCTTTTTAACTGGATCGAGTGATGTTAAACTTTACAAACAAGGAGCCACACAAAATGCCTTCAGCCTCCCCGCACGCTATCCTTGAGTGCCTCAAACAGAAGTCGCTGGTTGATGATAAGATAAAATGTCGCCATGGAAACAGGGAATTTCTTTCTGAGATGTGGCCACCGTGGGGAAAAAACGTGAGGGAGACGCAGAGGTAGGGAATGGGAGCCATGAAGGGAGAGTTGGTGTGAGATGGAGAGGGGAAGCTAGGTGGAGGGTGTGAGAATGAAACCTGCAGGATCCTAAAAAAAAAAAACAACAAATATGACGGAGAACGAGTGAAAACAGCTGAGGCAGCAAGAATGTCGCCGCCTGCCGTAGCCTGTGCTCATGGGAAATCACCTGACCTCACAATCTGGGTTACCCCGTGTCAGAAAGAGAAAATAACGGGGACCAGAAAAGACAGAATATGCGGGGCGATCATTTGATTCCCACTTTCTCTCATTCTTTCCATCTCCCTCTCTCGGTTCTGGAAGGGGAGGAGAGAGCAAAAAATGGAGGGGGGGGGGGCGCTTGTCCTCGTTCTTTCATCCTGTCTTACCTGGAGGAGTGCAGTTCTTAGAGCCTTCACTCTCCATTTCCTCCAGGCTGCTGTTGTCCATTTCCTGCAGTAGCCTCCTCCCTCCCCATCTCCCCTGGTCCTCGCTGCTGGGGCTGGAGACGGCGAAGCCTGGAAGAGGTTTGTCACAGTGAAAAGTACTTTCAAAATAGATTCAAGGGCATTTTCAATGCAGCTACAACATCTAGATGGTGCATTTTCATACATAAAGACGTAGAAAAACTGAAACTGTGATCTGATACCTGAGTTTCAGTATAGATACAAAAACCATATTTGTTTAGTTACTTTGGAATATGAGCTTGTATAAATAAAACATCATACAAATGAAAAAAAAAACCAGACTGATTAAATAATAAGAGAAGGTGGGATAACAACAATCTAACAAGTTCATCGCATGTCTCTAAAAAAGTCTCTGTCTCGATCTGTGTCAGACTGTGCAATGCCAATTTTGAGGCATATCAGATGGTGCGATGAATGCATGGTGAATCGCAGAGCTGGGAAAGAAAAAAGCAAGTAGAGACGCGTCGTCAAGTCACGCCGTCCATCTGGGACTCCCTCATGTTTTGAATATACAAAACAATAAACCAGGTTTGACCATATGCTGCTACTTCTGTGTATCCAAAAAGACAGGTAGGAGATTGTAAAGCCAGTCACGGCAGAAAAGAGGGTAACTTGAAATGCTGATTTTGCAAATTGACTGATTGATTGAGGTAAATATGTTTTAGCAGGAGCCTTAGGTTAGCTCATCGTTTCATGAGTAATTCTGATTGATTGGTTTGTAAACCAGGGTCAGCAAATATCGGTCGCCAGCAGACGCTCATGATCTATTTATCTGCTGATTAGTTTTGTAATTTTCTGTCACTTGAATAATTGATCAATCAACTAAGCGCTGCAGCTCTACAAAAGTCAACTTTCGCCTGTGACAGCCCAAAATCTCAGTGCACAGGGGCGTTAATGAAGATTACGAACCTGAAAAAGCACTGACTGAAACCCAGTCCTAATGCAAAGGGACTTTTAATGTACAGCAGAGCGCTGTGCCAGCTTTGATATGAAGCAGAGAAAAGCAGCATTTTGCTTGAAAAATTACTAGAACAATTAATCGATCACCAAAATAGTCATCAATTAAATTTCCGTCATTCGACTAATCGATTAATCTTTTCAGCTCTGTTGTGTCTCAGCACATTTTACCATCACGAATTGGGCCTTTCCATTTCTACGCAGCAGTTACATGTTTGTTTGCGTTGCTGGGATGCTGCAGGAACCAAAGTGCGTGTCAAGCAATTTGTTGTATTTTTAATGGCCAGGGCTGTCTTCTCTGTCCCATTAAAGTTTGATTCTTTATGTAATAGTAGGTTAGTGAACAGCTGGAGGAGTGCACCACAGATGTGTCAGTTCAGTTTCGCCCTCCCTCCCCCCAATTCATACATTGAAGGGGAATTTCATGATTTTCCAAAACAAAATCCTCTTGAGGTGGGGGTGGGGGGTGGGGGTGGAGCCACAGTGCAGCGCACAAAGTGGGGCTCCCACTGTGGCTACATCTGCACATTCTTCAAGAAAGCAGCAACACCAATGAATTCATTTCATACTTCAGAGGGCCCAGCAGGAGCACTCTGCCCTTTCCACCCTGCCAACCACAAGTCTGGCCTAAGAGAGGGATTCAGATAGAATTAAAAAGCGCAGTTATTCAACAGTCCTCGGGGCATGGCTGAACTTCTCACCTGGCCTCACCTTCACTACACCACACACAGCAGTTACAGCGGCAGGTTTGCGTGCCACTGCTCCCCTCCCTCCGTCTATCTCTCGCAATCTCGCACACGGCGAGAAGAAGAGGAGTGTGGGAATGATAAATGTGCCCCTGTGAGGAGGCGTTGAGTGCTCCGCTTCCAGCTCCGCAACATCAAGCTCAATTTAGCAGAACTTCATTAAGCGCATCATAAATAATCAACTTTAATTGATATTCCGGCAAGCTGATTAAGACTTAACAAGAACACAATGGGGACAACGGAAATGCATTAAACGCGCCGGTGTCGTCTCTTGTTCACCTCTAATTTAGAGCACATGCAGAGAGCAGCACTGTTGCATTTCCATGTATCCAGGATACGCGGTGCGGAGGAAAGAAGAAGAAGAGGGAAAAAAAAGTCCTACTGATGATGCACAAATCATGAGTGTATGAATATTCATGCAGGCCTTCTGTCCATGAAAAGTGATAAATGCATCTCACTTTAACTGACGCTGACTCAGTAATTAAGAGGAGTGTTGGGGGGCACAGTCAAAGATAGAAAGGGAGGAACGCGCAGACATCAAGTCAAGTGGTACAGATGTTTTCTGTGAGGAAACTGAGTGCTGCAGTTTCTTTATTACCAGGGTTTCATCTGATTGCATTTGGATGCTTTGGCAATACTAATCATTTGACAAGCATGCCTGTACACCCCTAAAGTAAAGTTAGAGCGAGGGAGAGAGACACATTTGCAGTAACCTGGAAAGGTGTGGGCCTATATACCCTGGGGCTCACTGCCCTGATTTCCCTCTGCAGCTCTAACACCTGAACATTCAGGAGCCCCTGCATCCCTCCACCCAGAACAGTTCCCCATAGATAAAGCTCAGATGAATTCCCATTATAGACCTGTGTGACAGTACAGACACCCACTTTAGGCCAGACCAGGGCTGGTTAAGAGGATCCAACTCTCTTTAACTACTTGGTTTCCACACATGTTAACAGAATGATAAAATGCAAGCTGTTTTTTTTTTTTTTATAAAGCCACAGACATCTTCTCCTGTAAATGACACAGAACACACGTTTTTTTTTTACTACAAAATAAAAGATTTTGGAAGAATATTAGAGAGCACAACTTTCAGCCTCAAACGGAACAGTCCCACTTTACAATGAAACCTTAACCAATCAATCAAATGTGCCACACTATAAGTGCCTGTGGGAAAATTAAGAGTAACATTCAGCTTAATTGATAACAGGAAGATTAAGATGAAAGCACGATGGTTTTCACACTACTGTCCCTTTACAGTTCACAGCTCAGCTGTGCGTTTGGTGACAAATGAAGACAGTTAACTGGTGAGATGTTACAGAGGCAAACATGCACCGTTACTGTGGGGGAACAAGCTAACTGCTGGGGGAATCCAGCTCCCCTTCTCTGCTCTCCCAGCGCTCCACACAGGAGCCGAACAAACGGAGAAACGCTCACCTGAATGTTCCGCTAAGTAGGAGAACCCCGTCACGACCAGGAGCAAGCCGCCGAACAAGCATATCTGGATCAAAAGCAACTCCTTTCGTCTTTTCCGTCTCGCCCTGACCTTCTTCTGGTTCGGCATCACTTGCGTCGGCCGATTCCGGAGTCGGATACCCGGCAGAGACATCCCCTCTACCGCTGCCACATCCATGCGGATCCCCGGAGTGAACAAACAAAAAGACGAGCAAGCTCCTTTAATTCCCAGGGAATGGATTTATCTCCGGGAATGGATGATGAGCTACAGGGGAGGGGTGTCCGTGCAGCGGGGGGGAGGGAGGGTAAAAAAAATAAAATAAATAGAAGAGGAAAAAAAAAACTAAGTTGGTAAATTGGTACCGCTGGGATGCTGCGAAGACTGAAAACGGCGAGTTTCTGGCTGGAAGAGCCGGGGTTTGCTTTTTATGTCATGTTGAAAAGTGGTTTTGGAAGTAAGGCAGAGGACTGCTGCACGAGCCCTCCATGGATGCTTCCGTCTGCTGAGGTGAGGTTGAGAGATACAGCGAGTGAGTGAGAGAGAGAGAGAGAGAGAGAGAGAGGGAGGGAGACATAGTGAGACACAGTGAGAGAGAGGGGGGGGAGAGAGGGAGGGAGACACAGTGAGAGAGAGAGAGAGAGGGAGACACAGTGAGAGAGAGAGAGAGAGAGGGGGAGGGAGACACAGTGAGAGAGAGAGAGAGAGAGAGAGGGGGAGGGAGACACAGTGAGAGAGAGAGAGAGAGGGAGACACAGTGAGAGAGAGAGAGAGAGAGAGGGGGAGGGAGACACAGTGAGAGAGAGAGAGAGAGAGAGGGGAGGGAGACACAGTGAGAGAGAGAGAGAGAGAGAGAGAGGGGGGGAGGGAGACACAGTGAGAGAGAGAGAGAGAGAGACACAGTGAGAGAAAGAGAGAGAGACACAGTGAGAGAGAGAGAGAGAGGGGGGGAGACACAGTGAGAGAGAAAGAGAGAGAGAGGGAGAGAGGGAGGGAGACACAGTGAGAGAGAAAGAGAGAGAGAGGGAGAGAGGGAGGGAGACACAGTGAGAGAGAGAGAATTTTTTAACACACTTTTACTGTTTCATTTATTTATTTCATTAACCATATTAATTGAATTCACAGCACACCTGACACACTGTTTTATTTTTGAAATATTTTAACATATTCAACACAAACACACACTTTTACTGTTTCCTTTTTTTTTTATTTAATGAACTGTATAAAATGAATTGTTCTTTTGTATTATATTTTAATCTTTGGCAACATTGTTGTTTGACATTCAAGCCAATAAAGCTGAACTGAATTGAGAGCTGACTGAAGGGAAACCGAGGTCACAAACCTGGTGATTTCTGATACTGGAAAAATAATTATTAGTTAGGCTATTACCTTATTATTAGTAATGTGTGTGTGTTCTAGTACATTTCCACCAAAATGACACTGTACTTGTTAGCCTATGTACTATTATTCTTAATTTATTTAATGTACAAAGTTAAGGCTGACTGCTAATTAAAGCTGCATTACTAGAGTTTTTGGGGGGGCCATTAGGGGCAGTGCCAGAAGTGGTAAACACAACAATGACATCACTTCATAAAGCAGATATTGTGAGATATTGTGACACATCCATCTGACATGAAGCGATAGTAGCATTTATTTCGAGTTGTGTTACTGACCACCCAAGAATATCCACTATTTATTCTCAATAATTAGCTCCGGCTGTTTATCAAAATGCTCCACTATGTTATCTACTTATTTTGTCTGTCTGCTGTTTGGTACTGGGTATGTTTTGTGTGTGTGTGTGTGTGTGCGTGCAGCGGGTTTATCAGAACTGCAGCTGGAAAACGACAACAATGAGCTGAAAGATGGTAAAATGCTCTGTAGAGCTGAAGTGGTAATTCTGTGTATTTGTTACTAGGAGCAACACCTTTCACATCACATATATCTTCCCGTGGTTATATAAAAATATTGATTAGTGCAACGTTAATATACTGCAAGTATTCAGTAAGTACAAGGTAGACATTCTTGTGTCAGTTTGCCAGTTATGAATTATTGATCAAATGAGAACACATAAATGTGCATACAGTGCAGATGCACGCACTTGCAGCAGTTATAGCCCAGTGGTGAGTTGCTGAATGGTAATATGCACAGATTGGTTGGGTTATGAAAACCTCTGCCACAGAAAGCATGAAAACCTTGTCTTGCGTTAAACAATAAGCTTGTTCCTCTCCTTATAATAATAAATAAAATAGCTTTGGATGTGTGTGTATGTTTCAGATTACAATGTCAAGTTTAGGTTTAGGTGCAGGTACAATTCTTTACTATTTACTTTTCATATACATATATGCATTTTGTTTTGAATTCAGGTACAAAACCACACTTGTCATACTTCAAGTACATTTACAAAATAGTGTGTAATATTTTGGTAGCCAAAAGTACCCAAAAATACATGAAACATTAAAGCATGTCTTAAACATGTCGCACAAAAATACACTGTCCTTTAAGTGTCATTGACACACAATGGTTTATGATTTGGCTCTTCCGACTCAATTTTGACAATACCATGTATTTGATTTGAAATACATGTAAATTGTTTGTTGTTCAGTTAAAGTGAAATAAAGATGCGTGCCTTTCACTGCCCTCTTCTGGGAATGTATTATATTTATATGCAGTGCAGCAGCCTGCGGAAATGACATACTGATAATAAAGTAAAGTTGTGTTTGTGAAGCGGTTTCGGCTTTCTAATAACCTTACCTGTTAGTTTGTACACAAATTATGTGGGCAGCAGCCAAACACTACAGCGATTCCTTCCACGCCAGCTACATCTTCTACAAATAACAATGTTGTATGTTTTCTACGTAACGATTTAAGTGAAACAGAACTTTAGGATAATGGATAGTACTTCATCAGGGCCAAGTTGGGTTTCTTGATTGTCGAGCCTGTGGTTTCATATAAATAGCACTGGAAACTTTCCAGCAAGAATGGAAAAAGTGGTCAGGGCTCTTGGCAACATGGTTTCATTGTGCTTGTTAACCCTTTGGAACATGGAGCTTAGACTGATAAAATAAATCACAAGAAATGAGATGATAGATGTGACTGAGAGTTGCCCAACATATTCTAAAGGAAAAATAATCCACGCCTGCGTCCTAAGATAAAAACTACCTCTCGTTTTAGCATCACATATGGCAAGCATTCTCTGGTGACAATTCACTCATGACTGGAGACCTTAAAGCTACCATGAAACCTGGCCTGTCTAACTTTCAAAGCGAGCTCGGACTGGGCATGGAGGTGCCAAACAGGATGAATTCCCTACCTCTCAGAGGCGCACAAAAGAAAAGAAGAAAAAAAAATACACACAAGGGGAAGAGGAAGGAGGAGGAAGGGGGGGGCAACAAATTAAATCCAGTTAAATTGTTTTTCCATAGCCATTGGGCTTGGCAAAGGCCCCTCACAAACACACACAAGATGTGAGATAAGTTGTAGAGAAGACAGACCAGAAACCGTGTGGCTTCAGATGTAAGAGAATGCTTGGAATTTAACCCACTTTCCCATGTCAGACTGACCACGCCCACTCCCTCTGCCCTGCCCCACAGCTCAGGGTGTCCACACAAACAGCCATGTTGCTTTGAAATACACCGGTGATTCCATAGAAAGACAAACCTTGAAGATCTGCCCTACTCAACACTCCCCGTTCTCACCCTGTTACAGCTGTGATTAATTGCAGCCGTCTCAGATGTTTGGTACAGTACATCAATAATCCAAGGCCCCACAGTCACCTTCCTCCTCTCTTACTGTAATGCCTGTCTGGTATTGGGATCACAATGCAGTCATTGCAGAGGGAAGCTGCAGTTCTAGTCCAATTTGAAGGCTAGCTGGCTAGCAGACATATTTGGGTCATGTCTTCCCTCTCCGAGAGCTCCCAAGTACGGGCTACAGCAGCTCCTCGCTCTCCCCTGCCGCTCTCCACCACAACGTGGAGAAACCTAAGCTCAGCACCATTGGAGGGAGAGAGAAAAGGGGTGGGTGGATATGGTTTGGTTGGTCAGGAGTAATTTGCTGAACTAAAAAAAAAAGTTGGGAGAGTGTAGATGGGCCAGGTGGCGATGCTGAAAGGAGAAATAAGGACAAGCATCTTTGCTTTTGCATCACATAAAACAAGCAGAAGAAAACACACAAAGCACAGCATAGATCACTTTTTCTACTGACATCTTTATAAAATGGCATCAAAGTGTACAATCAGATCCGTCATGTGACAGCAGGACAGTGTCATAATGAAAAAGTCCCAACCACAATGGTGCCACAATAGCTGCGGTCAAAGCGATCATTTCCTCTGTGTGGGTCTGGTGAGGTGATAAAGCACACAGACATTCAGGTCATTTATGAGGATTTCCAAATGAAATAACAAATATCAGTTTCTGAAAGAGACAAAAAAGTATTTTAGAGATACATCACTATGCACCTTTAGTTTCCAAGCTTCTGAGTGGGAAAAAACAGTGTGGGGCTTTTATTGTCAACCACAGAGAGACAATGTAAACAAACTAGAAATATTGTGTTGTGTCAGCAGCAGTCTTAAAGAAGGACCACATCATTTAGCATCGAAACCATCCAATGTTGACATTTGAAGGTACGTTTAGAAGCCGTTCGGCTAACTAGCAGCTAGCCTGACGTTAGCAGGGCCCTCTTCCCCTCTTCTGCCGGATGTTTGTTTGTTAGCTAATTTAGGAAGCTAAGGTGCAACACAAGACATGTGTCCGTGCTTGTAACTTAATGTGAGTAGTTGGAGGCTTTTTGTGTGTGTGTGTGAGTGTTTTGTAGAGGTTGGTGCCTAACTATGAGATATAAATTTTTACAGAGAATACCTGTGTGCTTTAACAATTTCAGTTGAACCTTAAAACATACACTCTATTCATACAGGCACAATAACCTTACAGACATTACACATGTGACATATATATATATATATATATATATATATATATATATGTATGTATGAGGTGTTACTGGTGCAGTGAAATCGGCAAGGCGGTCACTTTATAGGGCTAAGCGATTTTAAAATAAAAATCTAATTGCAATTGTTTTGACTGATACTGAAATTGTGATAGGATTTGCGATGTTATTCTCATTTTTATTGAATAACATTAAAATGAATTAAGGTGTGATTTTTTGCAAGGTTCTGTTCTAATCATAGTTTTCTTAAGTCTGCAGAATATGACGTGTAGGCCAGGACATCTCTGCAGCACGGAAATATTTAATTTAAAAATTGCATTTCAACACACATTTTGCTGTTACTAAATATTGCGATTTCAGTAACATTTGGATTAATTGTTCAGCCCTATTACATTATCACTGTCCTGATGTTCTTGTGCCTGTACTATAAGACAAGGACTAGGAGTTATGCTACAGGGTCAGTGTCATGTCAAGTGATCAAAGATCAAGTGGGAACAGCAGGCTAAGTGAGACAGGCAGGGAGAATCTGAAAGAGAAACAGAGACAGAGCCAGATGGAGGCAGGAACATGGAAAGATAGGCAGTGGGGGAAAAAGACAGAGTAAGAGAGCACAACCTAACAGCTGATGTTTGTTCTATCCCATACGACCCATTCCCTTTCTATGCACCCATTTTCAGTCTCCCAACATCAATCTAAGAAAACAGTCTTGTGGTGTTTACACCTAGCCAGTCCTATCTGATTTAGGAGGAGAGAAGCCAAGGACACCAGCAAGGGAACGATGTTCTGCGACAGGCCAAGAGAATCCTGCTGATTTCCAAACAGGAAGGAGGACAGTCCACGATCAGGTTCAAGAGTCACTAAGGATTAAGGCCTTCCTGAGGAAAGTGGGCTCACCGTCATGTCTCCAGCAGACATCTATCTGCACAAGAGAAAACAGAACAGAATCAGTTTGGTCTCTTGTCGGGTTGGGTCTAATCATTTGTATTTTCCTTAATCAATAATTGTCCAGGTAAAGTATTTAAAAGTTTAAAGCGTAACTATGCATCTTTTGTGGAAATAGCAGAATAACGGCAGATTCATTCACATTTTAATTAATTCAGTTCCACAGCAATATCCACTTAAAGTTTGCTTAGTCACTTTAAGTTACTGTTTATACCATACTTCTTTATTGTAGATTTAAACAAACCCAGAGGACCAAGTGACAACCAACAAATAACAGCCCTAAAAGGAAGAAATAATGTATTTGTATATATATATATTTGTTTTTAAAAACATATTATCAACACCTTTGCTTTGTTATGGCAAACATGTTAACAAACAGCAAACCTAATTACACATCCAGCAGACAGGAAGCAACAGTAGCATTAATTTGGAGCATGTTTTTGGCAAGTCCAATATTCACTCTCCTTTCATTTCTCTGAGCAAAGTTGTGGTGGGGAAAACCAAAACAATGGGCTGATTACACACAGTCTAAATAGCTGAGGGGAACTGCAGAGTTTGATAGTCACTACAAGTGACAACTTTCACACACAGTCATTTGATCCATTGCTATACTGGGGAAAAAAAATATTAGTGCAACTTTAAAGAAAGGTCACAAGAGTATCAAGAGCTATTTTAGGAAAACAGATACAAATTCAGTTATCAAAAGTGAAATTGGGACAAACAAAACAAAGAATGTGACTGTAGGCTTGACTAAATATAAAAAGGCACAACACTGTGAAAGCAGCTACATAAAACATTTAAAATGGAAGTAACATCTACTCGCTGAATAAACCTCTGACAGGCCTGTAATAGGTGATCTGCAACCAATTAGAACAGCAGTTGCGGGCTAGAAATTGCTCGCAGTAACCTGACGAGCAGCAGAACCTGTTCATTTCAAAACCAGAACACTGAAGACAGGAAGGAAGGATGATCAGAGAAGATAATGGAAGACTGTCGCAAATTACTCATTCAGAGGAACGCTCATGTTTAAGTCATGCAAAGCCAACCTCGAGAACACCAATTCTCTCTTTAAAATATGCAGCGACAGAGCCAAGCAAGCAAGCCCCTTGTCTGACATCTATCCTACATCCAAATTTCCCTCTCCTCTCCCCACAGTGCACACATTTCCAGAAGTGCTGTGTGCGCACTCCCCTGCTGCACACCCAGATGAAAAACCAAATAAATTTTGTGCTCCTTTATTCCCCCCTCACTTCCCCGTCTTTCTCCCATCTCCCTCTCTCTGGCCCTCTGTCAGACAAAAAGGCCTTATGTAACATGGAAGCCTCTATGCCGTGGGGCACATACCCAACATGCACTTGGGGATTACAGTGCAGGGCCCCCTGCTGTAGAGGAGTCTGAGATTGGACTACAGGCTTGCAAGGTCCCACACGAGATAGGGTGTGTGCATGCGTGTTTAACAAAATACAAAACAAAAACAAAACTGTACCAAACAAGGCAAAAATAATGCAACACACCTCATTGGTGAATTTCAGATGCTCATACTGGTGTCAGGCACGCTTCTGTCAATATGTAACTGACTGCACCAATGCGTGTGGAGAGAGGAACAAGAAGCACGGGCACTGTTAAAGTGCGGTTGCAGTGCCAGTGTGATGGTGTATCCGTTAACGTGCATGCATGCCAGAGAGTTCATGCAGGGAGAGGAGCCAGCAGGAGCAGCCTCAGCAGGGGGAGCAGACTCAATGCCTCCCCATCTCTATTCTCCCAGAACTCCTCTGTTTTTGCACTAGTAAACAAATACTGAAGGCAAATAAGAGCAACCCCAACCACTGCCCTCCCCCCCCTCATCCCCGCAATCTTTAGCACAGAATGAGAAAAAAACAGGTCAGTCTCTCATGAGCGTTGCTGAGTTTCACCGCAATGTCAACAATAACAAAGAGGGCAGGCACAGGCCGGAAAAGGAGAAGTGAAAAACAGCGATGCTGAGGTGAATGTGAACGATACTCCTTTTTTCCTCTCAGTGCACATTTAAAGCTGCCATATTGTACTTGACACAATACACTAATATAATAAATGGGAGGGAAGGATTTTTTTGGGGCAACTGTATTTGTTGACGATGCAAAAAAACAAAATAACAACTGTGCAATCTCTTGCAAAAAGGCACAGCTGTAAATGTTTGTCTTTTTCTCAGGTGTTCATGTCTATTAAGAGTTCTTTAATCTACTTTTTTATTTAATACAACTCTTTAAATAAATAAAAGGTAACAAAGAGAACAGTCAATATTCCATTTAATTCAATTTATTAGTGGATCACTCCTTGAGATGCAGCATCTCGTTTTCAAGAGGGTCCAAAAAAAAAAAAAAACACACACAAAAATAAAAATAATACTATATAAAGTCATAGTATAGCTGAAGCACCACACAGCAGACAGACAAACTAAGTGACGTGCTGGTGAACATAGTGAAGCATTAAGCAGCTTAAAGCAACATTATGTAAGATGTGGGGTTTTTTTTGTGTGTTTTAGCGCCCCTATTGTTTCTGTAATTTGCCGCCGTTGTAAATAAGGACATCTGTACATTTGTTGTGATTTCTTTACTTGTAATCAAAAACTAGCAAGTCAACAACTTTGCTAACACAGCCAAACGTCAAGCAAGTGCTACAGCACAAGAGAAAATAGTCCGAGTGAAGAAAGAAGGTCAGCTCGGCATCGGTCTTTTCAGCCTTTTAGTTCACAAAGCTCTCGGCAACGTCCGGCAAACTCTAGCTTGGTCACTCTCTTATTCTCCTCTTAGCTTCCTCCATCAGCGTCCTCTTCCGTCTCTTTGCCTCTGCCATTAGCTAACGTTCATGTTGCCGGCTCGCCTGGCTCCGGCTTGACACTTGCGCCGCTCTCCACCAGCAGCAGCTTAATTGTGCTTGAAACTTGTGTGGCAAGATAGCCAACAAAGCTAGTCCAACAGCAAGAAGGCCTGCTGGGCACCAACGAGTATACGTCAGTCCAATATTTACTCTTGTTTATTTATTTTTGCTCGGCCACTTTTTCTCTTCCTCGCTTCCTCTGACAATGTCTTCTTCGGCCTCTGGCACGACATTCATACTGAGAATACTGAGCTAGCTTTTTCCAAATAACTTACATTGTACATTATAAACTTTTTGCTTCTTTTTATAGCTTGCTTGCTGAAGAGTCGTGTTGGTGTGTGACATGGTGCCATAAAGCATTACAGCGATAAGATTTCCCGTCCGGGGTTTCAGTGTTACTCAGTGCCAATAACATGCGCCCTGGGCCCAGAGTGGCAATGACAAAGACGTCATTCACCCTATCAGAAGTCAGTGTACCATCAAAATGATTGTGAAGCTGTTATTTTAAGATAAAAAATTCTACATAATGTTGCTTTAAGAGCCAGACATTTTTCTTTGTTTGTGGAGATGAGAATAGAGCTAAAGGCAGAGTGAGAGTTTATGACTTCCATTCATTATGTTGAGACAAACACAGCTTCAAAATGAATGGTAATGTTCTGTCTGCTAGATGTGTGACTGCTAACACGTCGTACGCCCAAAACAATAAATGATAATTAGGTGACAGATGTATTACATAATGCTTAAGAAGGGGAAATAATATGCACATTTAATATCTCTCTCTCTCACGTATTTTGTGTTCTGAAGCCTTTTCGGTGAGGGTAAGACATATAATTCAGATTTTAGCTGCAAGTGAAATGTTTTATGGAAAAGGCACTTATTCAAAGATGAGACTGACATTTTAAATTGCCAACAACATATTAAGGTAATGAAGGGCAGCTCTGAAAGGGGCTAAAAATACATTAAGTTCTCTTGTGGTTATTAAAGCAGAAGTAATGGGGGGGGGGGGGGGGGGGCATACCTGGTATTTTTTAAACACCCGAAATATTATCGGATATGATGAAAAAAACCCCCAAAAATAATAATTAATTTTAAGATTAGCCTGTCCAACATGATGACTGACTCAAGACCTCCAATAACACTCTTTAACACAAGAAACGAAGATAATAAAAGAAAGTTTTAGCCAGCAGACACCTGGTGTGTGTATGAGCATGTACTATACAGTATGTGACTGTATGCGTTTGGGTCTCCCCCCCCACCCTGCTGACCTAGGGCTCCCTCTCTGATGACACATCCCCGTCAGCTCCACTACTGGCATTGTGGTCCTGTCGGGAACGTTGGGTGACTTTCTCCCTGTTGGACTCTGAGGGGCCCTTGGAGCGCGTCTTCTCTTTCCTCTGCTGCTGCTTCTCCTGCTTTGACAGCTGAGGAAACACAAGAAAGAGGAAAGCGTGGTTAATAAAAAAAAAAAACTTTATCTTACAGTTTAATATTTTCTGAAGCTAACTTTGTTACAGCTCCACTGCAATATCTCAGAAATGCAACGTACGTCACCATTTACTTTTATGGCTTTCTTAAAACGAAAGAGAATAGGATAATGGTAAAGTGATGACCTTTTCCTATTAAATGATACACAATGTTTATTTAAGACCAGAAAGCTACCAATTTAAAAAAAGGGACACTCCATTGATTTTAACCATCAAAATCATGATGAGGAAACCTCAGCCCTCGAAAAACAAAACTAGGTCGTAACGTAGTATGTCGTGTATGCCTGAGGATGTAATTGCAGACTGTCCTCACGTCACTGTAAAGCTTTCTTTATGTTCGACGCAGTGTCCTCGGCGAAAAGGGTGACATTAAAGGAGACGTCTCCACTTCCACTAATATGCCGGCGATGTCCAGCTCTACATCTCCAGTACATCCATCACCACTACAACTCACTCCACTCTGACCAACTGCCTCACTGAAATAAAAATCATAGACGCAAGCAAACTTTTTCCAAATAAATTAAGACTTCTGTCCCAAAATCACTCGCAACTTATGCCTCGCCATTAACAACACCACTCTGTCTCCCTCCCTACACTTCGCCAACCTTGGAGTCATTCTCAACAGCAACCCCTTCTTTGAACATCACGTCAGAAGTGCCCTTTTCCACCTGAAAAATACTGCCCGTCTCCGTCCATCACAGTCTTTCTCTGCTGCCGAAACACTCATTCACGCCTTCATCACATCCAGAATTGACTGTTGCATATGGCACATCAACCGAAGTCCTAAATAAACTGCAGTACATCCAGAACTCTGCTGATCGTCTATTCACCCGCACTCACTCCCGTGACCGCATCACCTCTGTCCTCCACAACGAATCCAATTCAAAGTCCTTCGCCTCGCTCACAAAGCCCCTTACCTCGCTGACCTGCTCCACCACCACACTGCCTCCTGTAACCTCCTGTCTCTGTCACTCAGGTCCAAGCATGGCACCTGGGGCGATAGAGCCTTTTCCATCGCTGCCCCCTCACTCAGGAACTCTCTGTCCTAACACAGTACCGATTCGTCCATATTCAAATCACTTATCAAATCCCATCTTTTCAGAACAGCTTTAAATGTATGATTGACTGTTGTGTGTTGTATTTTAAAGGTATGTATTTTAACCTTTGTGAAGTGTCTACGAGTACCACGAAAAGCATTCTATAAATAAATGTATGGTCATCGCTCCTCTTGAGTCGAGCGTGTGGGCACCTCTCAGTTTTTGAGACTAGGACCTCACATGGGGGGGGCTTTCATTTCAAGATGGATGAGTTTGTAGAACATTAGTTCATTACCAAAACAACTAAGAACTTGATCGCCACGAATACTAATAACAGAAGTAACTTAAATTATGAAATAACTAATTTTTACTATTAATATGTCTCAAGGAACAAAAGCCGGGCAATTTGTTTTTTAAATGCTTTAAAATCTACATTTCAGTAAATAATATTTTGCCAGCAGAATCAAACTGTTTACGGGACAATTAACCTTCATTTCATTAGAACACATTTGTTGTTCCAAACACTTGTTGTTTTTATAGGGGCCGTTTAATGGCGATGTATATGAGTTTAGTTAATTAAAATTCTTCCTCAGCCTTGAGGAGCTGCATAGCGGAGCGTGCCATGAGCCAGAGATTCAGTGTGACATCATCAGCGTAGCGAAACCTCACATTTACAACAGAAAACCTGCGTTACAAACCGCAGTCGAAGATGTGGGCATGTATCGGACAGGAAGGGTCAGATGAAAGAAGCTACTGAACTGTATTACAGAAGGTGTAGGTCCCAGCATTTCTGCAGCTTGACCATACAAGGTCAAAAGTAAAAAAAATAGAATATCACTGCCTTATCCGTTTAAATTTTGACCATCCTTTATGAAAATAGTACCTCGCAAGTGCCCCAACTTAATGAAGCTCATTATTTCTACAGTCTAAATTGCTGAAATACCACGATCTAATTGAATATCAAATTGCAGTATTCATGTTCAAAGCAAGAAATTGCCTATTGCCTGGGATTATACAAAAGATGTTCTCTGAGAGGGAGGGAGGGTACGATATAAGGGGAAGGGGAAATTTTAAGACTAATTTAAGATTTAGAACAACAAGGAAAAGATTATGTTTATCAATTTGCAGAGTTAAATTGTGGAATAAACTAAATGAGAACCTAAAGCAACACCCAAACATATTCCTTTTCAAAATGTACAAAGAATTTATTTTCAAGAAGCACTGTAGGTAACTTTTCGCACATGTGATAGAAGTATGTTAACACAAGAAAAAAAGGGTACATTTGCTGCTCATCTGTTTTATTTTTTTTTAATACTTTCTCTTGCATGTTCGAAATACAGATTCAAATTCAAATTCTATTCAAGCTTAATGATCAAATATCTCTGCTTAGTAAATGTATATTTATATTAAAAATACATTTTTGCCTACAGTTTGGCTGAACTATAACTGAAACCTGTCAGTCTAGGGTTCTTATTGGCTCAGTGGGCGGAGGCACACACCATGTACACGCTGCATCATGACTTGCAGATCATGACCTTTGCAGTATGTTCGGTATTCACCCAAAGGTCCCGACATGCATGAGAATTAGTATAGGCTAATTAATTAAACAAAGAGGGAGAAACACATCAGCGCCACAGACCTGCACTTCACATCTGATTTGTCTTTATGGATACGCTCCCACTGCTATTCTTTCCTCATTTAGAGCTATTCTGGTTTGTCATATGATCACTTCAAGGAGTCTATTGTTGTGACTGCATGCACTGCCTTCTCACACACTTCAAAATAGCCCTTTCCAGTGCCACTCAGCATGACTAGTCTTAACTCCAATCAAAACCGCTCCTCCTCCTTTTCTCATTGTATTCTTCACAGGCCATAAAACACCGCCACAGTAATGATGAAGTAGGTACGCTACCCGTCATCTGAAAAAGGCCTGTAAACACAGATGCTAAAACTTTAATGGCTGCCAGGGAAATATTTATGAACTAAATGTCATCTTAAAAATCCAAGCCATTGCATAAGACATTACATTATTCAAAGGCCCCCAAAAAATTCTGTCCCTCCCACATGAACCCATTAACATGCTGTAGTATCAAACCTACTGCCTGTACACAAAAATGAGGGAAGACACATACTTTCAACAAAATGGACACCGAACATTCGCGTTTCTCTTTTTGCTATAAAGCAATCGAGATTTCAAATTCTGATGTTGAAGCTACATTAAAACCTCAAACTCTGGAGCCAAACCCCATAAAAACCTGACCTAACATGATCAAACATTACGTCATTTCTGTGTATGTTGAGTTTCAGCTCACAGCCCAAAACAAAATGCACAGATAGTCAGACGAACAAACAGAAAAACTCAGGACCGCTCTGCTCTCGACCCCGGCCGTTCAGCGTCCCAAAGAGAACATCCAAACAGGATGATTTTCATTGCTCTGGATAACACCATTGTTTGCTGGCCGCTTGACCCTGCAGTGGACTAAATCCCTGATTTGTGGAAAGAAAGGGACAGTGTCTGTTGGCCGTTGCTTCATTTTCCTCCCTGTGCCAAGCTTAGCCTATTGGCTGGCCTTTTATCCCTCATGTTCAGCCTTGGCTTTGGCTCCTCGGCCCCCACAGCAAAACATCCCAAACAGACAAGATTAAAATTCTGAGGACTGGTTAATATCCCTCCCTTTGGACTAGTGAGCCAAGCCCACCAAGGGGAGAGCAGCCAAAGACGGCCCGAAGCCAAAGCATAAGGATGTTGGCCGGGTTCCAGGGAAGTGACTAGAATTGATTCAGGAAGACAAATATATGAACTTCTTTCAAATGGCTGGAATAAGAGGCCGGGAGAGGTGTATCCCTGTTACTGAGAGGCTAGGAAGTATTTGTCTTTCGTTTCCATGGTTTAATACAGTGGTTCTCAGACAGGGGGGTGGGCCCCCCAGGGAGGGCGTAGAGCCACTTCAGGGGGGTCGTGGATGTGGAGCGTACCTAAAGTTGCATGAATGTGATGTGATGTCATGTGGTGACATAAGTAAACAAGGGCTCTGATCCTAGCAAGGATATTTTGGTTACCTAAATCTTGTTTATTTCAACTGCCTGTTTTGTTAATGATTAATAAAAATGAAATCCACTTGTGCTGGGGTGGAGGGGCATGAACTTTTTATGGCTTCTGAAGGCGGGCGTGACAGAAAAGATTGGATCCGCTGGTTTAACATCTCCACTACTTAGTTTCTGGTTTGTACTGCTTTGTTAAATATTGATATTAATAAATGGCTATATACAAATGGTGATTACTTTAGAGAGATGTCTAGAGCTGAAACTAAGCATTAACTATCTGACTAACCAACCAATACACATGACCCACGTATTATTAACAGAAAATATTCTCAAAAACATTTTCGTTATCATTGAATCCAGTGTTCCAAAATTGGGCAGAAAGCCATTAAAGGAGAAACAATATGGAGTGAAACACGGGTGATACTGATTAGTTGCTGGAACACATCATCAATATTATTAGTTCCACCTTTGCTTTTCCTACTAAGACAACTCAAAATGTCTGCTGTGAAAAAAGCCTACTAATCCAAGTTATTTGCAAATAATAAAGAAGAAAGAGAGCTCTGATGCTCGGAAGGATATGTCAAGTTTGACAGGGGAGGAAATATGAAGAAGCCTATCTTGCTCTGGAGTTCACTGTCAGTGTAACAGTCTTATGTCTGTTGAGTCTATTTATTGACGGATTTTACTTGCTTTTTTTTTCTTTGCCGCAACATAAAGTAATGAAACTAAAGTTGTTACCAGTTGAGTATTTTGTGGTTTCCAAAGGGGGGCATGGCACAGCGTGTTTGGGAACCACTGAACAAAATTCTGAATCTTTTTTTTTATTATTAATAAATTAATGGTTTGAAAAATAGATTTAAAAAACATTATTGTAGTTGGGTGTCGTGATATCATTGCCAATGTGATGCCTAAGTTTTGGTACTGATACCAGAATAATAAGTTTTAATAGCTCTAAGGACGGCAAAGTCAGTCGAGACTGAAATATCCCAACAACTATATAATGGTTTACCATAAATCTGAGACAGACATTCATTTCTCTTTTATGCTAATAAGCAAAGGTTGGCAGAGAAGTTGTGTTAGACTTTCTCGTTGTCATTTTCACAGACAGGATCACCCATCATTTTAGTTTACATTTTTTAATGATAATGAGACAAATAGGCTTTTTAATAGCATTTGATTTTCAAAAACAACTCAATCTCAATAACATTTTATATACAGATGATGCATTTATAAGGACATGGAGAGAAAAGATGACACTTTTCATTGCCACTTGCTTTCCCTGTAACATTAGCTGCCGCTGGCTGATAAACGTTTTCAGTATTCCTTTCTTGTCCTTCACCCTCCAACGCACTGCTTTTTTTCACCTCGTTTATCCACCACATCACAATTATCGGGTTGTCTACAGATACTTCGAATGCTGTTGTGACATTTTGAGATAGCTAAGCTATGCAGCGATACAGCTCACCAAAGCGATGGCTAACGCCAGCCCGACAACGAGGTCATGCATGTGCGGTCAAAGACAAAACAACTAGACTACAGCTAATTAATATGCACATTCGCCACCAAATGGATAGGGGGTCTGCTACAGGTGGACTACATGAGATTATCAACATTGTTTCATGTGAATTACTTAACGACATGATAGATCAAAATGACAGACAGCCATTGTTTGAAGAAATGTAGTCAGTGACGGAGAACATTCGGATAACGCTACCTATGCATTAGCCTACTAGGATACTAACACGCTAAAACTGGGGTGGTAAAAATGACCATCAGCAAGTTAGCACTGTCCCAGTGAGCACGTTAGCATGCTGATGTTAACATTGAGCTTAAAGCATTGCTGTGCCTATGTACAGGTGCACCTCAAAAACTTTGAATATTGTGGAAAAGTTCATTGTGAGCACCAGAACCAGACTGAAAGATTAAAGGCTCCGGAAACCTTTGCAGGTGTTTTGAGTTAATAAGCTGATTAGAACTCTTCTCAAGTAAACATTTCTGTCTTATACACATTTTGAGATATTGGGTGTTTTGATTTCCATTAGGCTGTAAGCCTTAATTATCAAGATTAAAACACAATAAAAAGGCTTTAAATATTTCACTTTGTGTGTGTTTTACTTTTTGAATTAAATTACGGAAGAACTAACTAACTTTTCCATGATAATCGATTTTTATTTATTTGGTTTTTTTGATGCACCTGTACAGCCTCACAGAGCTGCTGACATAGTTGCAGCCTTAGTCTTGTTTCCATATCTTTCTTTGAGAAATATAAACCTTTTTCTATAAAACCCTTTTTTCATTTAGCAAAAGAAGCCAAACTTTTAACACAACCAGTCAATAACATAGTTTTACATTTTGCTTGAATCAGGAGCTTTCTGATCAAATAACAAACAAACACAGCTACACAACACCAGACATTCGATATAAACTTTCAGTGCTCGACCGTCCTGCCGAGTTGGTGCTCTGGACATATTTTAATCTGTACAAAAAAAACATTGCAAGTTCTCTAAGATGACATCAATCAACTCATCAATAATTGACTATTCATTTCAGCACTATTCAGGCTTGTGCTGCCAATTATATGAAGCCCACAATAACACCCCCGCCACACACACAAACACCTAACTAAGCCATCATCGCCATGGGGGTGACTGAGAAAGAACACAGTGAATCAGTCCCACACCACAAGGCTACGGAAGAGGTGGCAATAGCAGACGTCGATGTTGGCAAGGACACGATTCTTACTGTCTGGGACAAGTTTTTTTTTTGGGTCTGAATTTCCAAAAACAACACTTCCTTTATCAGTATTTAGCTTATACAAGACAGATGTATTATTCATTTTACAACACAGACTGTATTATGAGATGAAGGTACAGTTACCTTTATGCTACTCACAAAAGGCAACCACACAAAAATATATACATATAGTGCCTCAATACCTGCTCTCGGGGGCAAATACACCAAGAGGCCCCTACGAAGGGTAATTTCTACAATATTGAGTACTGTATGGACAGCTGGACACAAGAACATTAACTAAGCAAGGAAGCCTTTAGTTGGCAACACAAATAACACGTTATTCCTTTTTCATGTACCCTCATAAAAATGACAAAAATGCTATTCTTAGTTGTAATGGTGAACATGTTAGCAAACAGTTGCCTATTTGCACATCCAGCAGACACATTAGGGCCACATTCGCATTTATTTGACGTGTTTCTGGCCACCTGACAAAGTAAGGCCAATGTTTTTCTGTTTCAGTCTCCACAAACTGATCCTCCGCCATGTTCACCAGCTAGTCTCTAACTGTGTCCGTCTGGTTTTTGGTGCTGGGCAGGTGCAATGGGTTTATCAGAGCTAATTTGCTAAGCACAGCTGCTTTCTGCTGCTGCAAACAAAACTTTTTTTTTTTTGTGAGTGTGATTTTTGTGTTTGTGTTTTGGGCCAAAAAAAGTAGATAAGATGGGTTTAAAATCTCTTTTAGCTGGGAGGAAAACTGCAGAGTTAGTGATAGCTGTGGGTCTGTCAGTATGAGCAACACCTATCACATTACACTTTTGATCCATTGCTTAATGTTTATCATAGTTCTGATAATTGTTTTGTGGGCTGCATTTATACATTTTTTGAGACTCTTCTTAAAATCGTAACTTAAATACAGTTTAATGTACTTCTGTTGTTGTTTATAGTTGTTACAGTATGGATCCTAATTCCAGGAAGTTTACAATTTAAAATGTATAGTTATATTTCAAGGCTTATTTTTCTAGTGTAGTGTCCTGATTAGTACATAGCTCAAGCCAAATATAAGATTTTTTTATTTCAAGTTTCAATGTGTTATGTGTTTATTTTCTATTAACTACAAAAAAATCTGTATCAGCCTCAAATTCTGGGCTCAAATCTAATGTATAATTTGCAAATGGTCAGTGGTTTAAACATCCTGTCTGCTGACAATCCATCTTTTTTTATACTCAGATCATTTTTTAAAGCTTTGCTCTACAAGAACGCACAACAGAAGAGTAAATGTCACCACCTAGTGGTTCAAAATGACAAATAAAAGACCTTGAAGAGTAGAATGACACATGAACGAGAACCAAAGTTAATTTTACATATTTACTTTCAATATGTAAATAACTTGTTCCTCTTAGTAAAAAATGAACTACGGACAATCTTAATTTAATGTCCATTCACTGTTTTTTTCCTGAGCTTTTAATTGCATCTGGCAACTGCGCCATCTTCACGACAACTGAGAAAATCCCCTCCACTGACGTAAGACTGTGAAGTTTGGCTGAAAGCTCCAGCACAGACCTAATAAGTTGAGTTAATATCTGTCCAAACCATCATGCTTAATAACGTACCTGTCTGGGGTCTGTGGGACCAGTAGGTGACGTCAGTTCGATGGTAACCGGTCCGTCGTTTTGAATGTGGACCTGCATGTAGGCCCCAAACTCCCCGTCTAGAAACGAAAAAGAGAGACAAATTTTACAAGCCATAAAAAAATGAGACCTGGAAATAAAAAATAAATAAAAGATATAAGATAAACCCACTAAATCCACGTAGCCCAGTACATCCCGAATGACACCACATCCTAATATTAATAGACAGTAAAGTGGAATTTGTTTGGCATTGGCAGTCGATGTTTCATAAGGATGTAGGATAACGTGGAGCCTTGAGACATTGGGGACAAAAGACGAAGGGGCTGTAGGAGGACAGGAAGTTTCGACTTAAATGTTCTCCTTTCTTCCACTGGGTCCGCGAGATTAATGACACCATCTGCACAATGAAACCGTGGGCTGCGGAGGAAAAGTGCTGCACCATCATATTTCTTCTCTGGGGGGGGGGGGACTAATTAGGAAGCCTTATGCCTCCCTTGCTGGGACAAGGTGTTCTCCGCACCTGCTCCCCGGTGGGCTGACCTAATTCACTGCCACCGTCACCACCACAGCGTCACAGTCAAAGATAATCCTCATCTGCCGCCCCCCAAAAAGCCATAATCTTACACTGAGAAGTGACTACAGGCACTGATCTAAACGTATTACTGACACACAATGACAATTCACGACGACACTTTAAATTCTTACTTACTTTAACCTCGGATTTCACAAAATCCATTATATTCAGAAACTGTGAAAATGATTCAACTAATTTTTCAGGGGGAAATAAATCATAAATTTAGAGTTTTTATTAGCTCTAACATCCAACAGCAGCACGGACACACCACTGTAGGACTATAAAGCTTGCCGAGTCATCGGTTCACGCACCCTTAATGAGCTCTGGCTTGTATGCGCTCCTCATGTTCTCCATGATGCTGTTGTAGAAGGGCTGGGCCAACTCTGCAGGCATGGCTGAGTGGAAGTCTGGCTTGTTGCCTTTCAGTATGCACTGCAGTGTGAACTGGCTCACACACAGCACCTCAAAGTCCCTGTCCATGACACTTTTGCTCCACGCACGGCCGTTCTCGTCTTCAAACAGCCGCAGGTTCAGGATCTTGCGTACTCTGAGAACACACGAGGAAAAGCAGTGAGGAATCGACTTGTCTGGGACAGTCCTTCTTATCAGTTACGTTAATACTGGCCAAGAACTTATTGGCTTTATTTGAAGGGACCACACTGAGCTTTTGAGTGTTTTAACCCATTAATGCTGAACTAAATAACACAAAAATACATTCAAATATTTAAAAACAAAAACCCAGCAGTGTTAAATTCAAAGCAGGTCAACAATGATAAGTTCATCACGATTTTCCTCAATAAAATTATAACAAATGTTCAGTAAATGTTTGATTTAATTTATTTGAATCACGAACAAAGTAACACTTAATCTTTCTTTTAAGATATTTATTTTGTTAAGGAAACGGGACTGAAAAAAAGATTTTACTTAAATTATTCATGTATATTTGTTGAAAAGATATTTTAGCATACTTGTTTTGAATGTCCTACCTCAGATTTGTTAAGTGATTCACTGTTTGGCAAGCGTTTGTTCTGGCCATAAAGAAAAGTTTAAAAAGTTTATTAACCATCTGGTTTCTGCAACTTTCATTTAGGAGCAAAAATCAGCCTTTAAACTTGAAAGAAAGATAGGACACTTTTTATCGTGATCACATCTGTGGCCATAACGCCCCGCTCTACCGGGTTACAGCCAAGACTGAAATACTGAGTCCCCTCGACAACCTTGAAACATTTTGACCATAAACAAAAATTAAGCTATCTGATGTTCTTCTCCTTCTCCTTCTTCTTATATATATATATATATGTTTTTTCAAGTCCGATTTATTCTGTTAACTAATCACTTGTGCACTGTTTACACCTTTTGTAAAGTTTATTTCCTAGCATGAAGGTCTAAAACTTTTAATTGTGGAACGTAAACTGTATGATACAAAATTATTATTATTAAAAAATAAAATCAAAATACTAAGGACAAGACTTTAGCGCCCTTAGAGGTCCCTATGGTCCTGGATTCAAAACATGCAAAAACTCCTCATTAATTTAGCATCTCTGTATTTTGGTCTTTTACCACTTATCAGTTAATAATTCTGATTTCATCAGTGCGGTCCAGCACCTAACACAAATGTTTGACTGAGCTCAAACCCGGGCTGGCTTTCTGTTTCTGGTGCTGAAGGTCCCTCCCACACACACTCACATGTAGTCAGCATCCTTCTGGGTGTCCTCCACTGATATACCCAGCAGTACACACAGTCCTCGTCCTATGGAGCTGATCTGTTCTTCTCCCACTGCAGGAAAAGAGCAGAAGTTTGATGAGTGAGCGGGCAGCTGCTGCTGCTGCTGCTGCTGCTGCTGCTGCTGTGGACATTAAGACTGACAGGTGACAGTTTGAATGACATCACTGTGTGTGGAGGAAAGGAGCCCCGGAAGTCAGGACTGTCATTCAGCTGTCAAACACCGACATCCAGAGGACACGTTCGCCATTTGCGCGGTGAAATAACCTTTACTGAGTTCCTCCGAGCCTGAACACCCAGCCAGCAGTGCTCCTGTCTGGACTCCTCACATCTTTCGCTTTCGCTGGGAGTGCTAATGCTAACCCGGCTAGGTCAACGTTAGCTAACGTGAGTGGCCCGCGACGTTAATGAATGAATGAATGAATGAATCAGCCTCGGTGTTTCGACACTGCCAGATGTGTCGAAGCATGACAGCTTGGCTCGGATCAAAACAGGCGCTTACCTGTCACAGTCGCCTTGGTGACCCTCTGAACGATAGCTTTCATTGTTTTGGTTGCGCTGGGGAGCACGCTCGCAACTTCCGTGGTCTCGCGGCGCGGACGGGACGCTATCGCCCTCGAGCGGCCGGAACACGCAGTAGCGTCACACATCCTCAGCTTCTTCCGGAGGTTTATTTACTCAGTTACTGAGCAATTCTGATTTACTTTACTTTACATGAGTTATTTTAATTTCATGCTTTGATTGTCAAAGCGGCTTTAGGAAACATTTATTTAACATTTATATCAGAATCAGCTTTATTGCCAGGTATGTGTACACATAGGAGGAATTTGACTCAGGATGTGCTTACTCGTACAAAATTACCATAACACGATAATAAAATAATAATAAAATAAAAACATACTACAGTATAGACAACACTAATATACACATTATGAACAAAAACAATATAGACATATTGACAAATAGTGCAGCGAGCAGAGTGCAAAGGATGCAGGAGTAAATGTTGGAGGTGTATGTGAAATACAGGTACACATACATATGTACACAGTGCGATGGAGCATAGTGCAAAGGATGCTGGAATAAATAAGTATAAGTATTATTGTGCAGGTGTTATTCACTTGAGGTAGGTGGATATATATATATATAAAACTCGGTAAAGGTTATTTCACTGCACAAATGATGAACGTGTCCTCTGGATGTCGGTGTTTGACAGCTGAATGACAGTCCTGACTGCCAGGCTCCTTTTTTTTTTAACTTAAAGTAAATAGAGAAAATGTAAACTTAAAATAATACAAATAAGACAGAACTATATAAACACCACAAAGACTTTTTAAATTATTGTAAATATAGGATTGTTTTTAATGTTCAGAGCTCATTTGCCTCTTTGAAATCTGAGATTACAGAGTTGAACCGAACCCTAACCCTTCATTATTTCATTGAATGTTTCAGATTGTCAGAGGTAGTGTGTCTCCGTGTCAGCCTCACCTGTCAAGCACTGACCATACATTCTGTTTTCTTTTGGTTGCTCCTTTTTGGATATCCAGTTTGTGCTCACTGAGCCTGTACTTGTGCGTACTGTGTCTGACAGGAGAGAAATATTCTGCCAGTACCATCATCTCTTTTCAGGGCCCGATAACATCATGATCTACTTTGGCTTGTAGTTTATTCTTTCCAGTGTTCTAAACATGTTTCTTTACATTACGTTATAATTTGGTTTACACTGATTGGAGTTTGGAAAGCAGTGTTGCCGTGAGACTGAGTCAATGTCTGGGAGGGGGAATTAGTCTTAGCACCGACATACCGACTCTTTTCTGGGCTCAGCTCTTGAGTTTGGAGGGCTTTGGAATGGAGAGTGTCTAGGGGGCTGAATTTAAGGTGATTAAATGATTTGAATGCTCTCTTTTGAAATTTAATTATCAGTGGGTATTTGCCCATTTCTGCTCTACACACATCACTCAGTTCAGTTCACTTTCTGTGTACTTGTAAAATGGATCTGCAGCTACGGTGACTGACTGGACCCCGTACTTCACTACCACACAGTGCAATGGGCTGGAAATATTTTATGCCAAATTTTATTGGTATTTGGAAATTATAAAATTGTCTCTTAATTGCATTTAGAGTTCTTCAGGCCTTTTCTCATTTACTACTTTAGTTTTGAAAAATCACAACATTAGTTTTCTTCATATTCACTGCCAGGGCCCAGTTCTGACAAGATTTTTTCAGCTTTGTCCAGCTGCTGCTGTGGTCCTAGTTCAGTAGGAGACAGAACAACAAGGTCATCAGCATGAAACAGAGACTTCACCTCTCTATCTAGGAGGACAGGCCAGGAGCAGCACATTCATCCAACTGAACAGCAAGTTCACTTATATATATATATATATAAAGTCGGATTTGAACACCAAGTCTCTGGGTGAAGAATTCTGTTTGTTTGTCTCTAACCTGTGGTTTTCCTGCTTGGGCAAGTCAAAATGTCTGCGGTGAAAAAGGACTATTGATATACTGCTGGTTTCACAAAGGTGACAATATCTTTACTGCCAAAATATTGTTCTTCCAAACAGCATGTAGTACTGAACGGTTCTATGTTAACACCAGAGAACCTTTTGTCCACAGTATTATGGTATGAAATCTGAGCCTACAGTATGTTAAAACAAGAGTTTATTTAAAGATACACAGTAGTTGTGGCATCTTTATATTGTGGACAATGATGCAGATGAAGATGACAGGAATTATGATGACTACTTTTGACAGTTGACAATATTTTTGTTAGTCCATTAGCGTCCAAACACAACGGCAGCTCCCTCAGACCTGGACAGGTGATAGCACACTGGAATTTCATGTTCTCACACATAAATTCATAGTCCACACGAGCAAATCTTTATGTCCTTTGTCCTTTGCACTGGTGCAGCTACTGTCCACCGTCTCCACTTCCTGGTTCACTACTGAAGGATTTGATGAAATTGTAGATCCTTGTGCTGTACGGGACAAAATCCTTCTTGTAGGTGATGAGAGTTTTGGTGTGAGCAGTCTGGTAAACTACTTCATTTGGAATTTCTAGCTCTTGCGCCGCTTCTTCTTTTTTCACTGAGGGGGAGAGGCATAGTAAGAAATTACTTAGTGATCAGTTAGTACTGATATTAAATAAAGATAAACTGGGATTAAAGGAATATACGGCAACAGAAAATTAGCCCAAGTCTAAATTAATGTAAAAATATTCCATTACAAGTACATTTCCTGCATTCTAACTTTTATTTATGTAAAGGTACAGATGTATTACCAGCAAAGTAAAAGCTCTCATTAAACAGAAAGGACTCTGGCAGTGCTTATTGGAGCACATTATTAAATCGTTCAATCATCATTTTAATGTTGTAGCCTGGAGCACATTTTAGTACGCTGTACACAAGCACAGTAATTGATGTATTTAGTTATTTTACGTCACTGGACACAGCACTATTGAGTCGAGATGACAGCAATAACAGAGTAAATACATAGTCTATATGGGTTAACGTTAATCCAGAACAAGCGAGCTGAAATCACTTGCACATGATTAGAGATAAGAACTAGTTCAAATTGTAATAAGGATGTTACGGTGTGGAATAAACTGGCTGTCACAGATCACCTCCCTCACCTGGCGTGTCCTCAAAACGACCCGTGTATCTGAAGAACGCGTATGAACCTATCAGGGTCCAGATGCCGACAGCGTACGCTGCAGACACTCTTGTGTTCCACTTCATCATATCTTTGAACGTCATGACTGCAGCCCGCTGTTTTGTTTGTCTCTTGATGCAAAGGTGTTGGGATTTCTGTAGAGCTGCTGCACTCAGGGCGCCGCCATGACAGCCAAAACGGAAAAACAAATGATAGCCTACAGACTTCCGGAAGTCAAGTATGTTTATAGCTAAATAAAGAGCAATATCACCAGTTCATATCACACGTTTTTTCATTGTCAAGAAATTGACAAAATAAGTATTTTTCTAAGTTTCAATGATATTTTCTTCTTGTTGTTGCTTGACGGCGGTCAGCACCCAGCTTACTGATGCGTTACCGCCACCTTCTGCACCGGAGTGGAGATCATATAGGGCCAATCTTACATCCGGCGCAAAGCTAGTTTTAAAAAGATATTTTACTGCAATGAATTGGTTGGGCAGCTTTACAGCATTACAGATGGCTGTCTCAACTCAGGTACAGGTATACATGTAGGGTAGGCCTGAAGTTGGAACAAATTGTGGCAAATATAAACTACTTATGAATGTTACTGATATTTTAGTAGACAAGTACTACAGGAAATGTCGTGAAAAATCACTCATTTTCAGTCAATAGTTTTGGTGTGGTAATGGAAAAAGCAAAAGTGTAGCCTGCCAACTTTAGCCGCTCTACCCTATTTCACTGATTTTTTATTTTATTTATTTTAGGGGCGTATTACTCCGATGGTAAGAGAGATGCTGTGCGCATTTACGCACCAGGCACAGCAGCGTAACTTCATTGATTATCAAAATCTCCCGACACGCCAACAGGATCGGTCAGAATCTAATGTTAATTTATCTTCCGTGTTCTCCACATCCAGGTTCATACAATTAAGCTGTTTGGAGTAAAGCAGCCGTCGTCCTGATCAGTCCTGAGCTCCATCAGAGCATCTAAATTATCTAAATTATTTCAGCTGCTTAAACCTCCCACTATAGTTGCGCTGACTTTATTGCGCACATGGAAACGTATAAAATGACTGACAGAAGCCTCTCTAATCATTAAGTTAATCGAGAAAACATAGATCAATAAAAAAAACACAAAATAAAACACCCACTGTAGGGGAGAGATGTGAGCCACGAGCGGTTCATAGTTTCTGATAACGCAGCGCAGTGAGGACCCAGACGTCTGTTAACATACTGGAGTTGAGCACTTATGCTTATCATAAAGACTGCATCTGACATACAAAGCAGCAGGAATATTCAATCCAGTCAGCAGGAGGAGGTCTGTGAGTAGGTTTCTGGGGGAATTTCATACAGTATAGGAGACGAGTATAAGAGACATGCACTGACTTCAAATCAAACTACACATTTGCCATGAAGTATGTCAACATGGAACCACAATTAGAAATGTGGAAAACAAGAAATTATATATTTGCAAATACCTAAAGTTACTTCTTTTAATGAGTGATATTGATTTTATTTTTGAAACTTGCTAGTTATATCCCTAATTTGTTTGTATGATATATGTATGCTCTGTCTATACAAATAAATTTTACATTTTAAAATCTAATAGAATTAAATTAAAGATATATTAAGGGGAAAGCAGCTGAATATATTTCTTTTAGATATGAGTCACACCAATTTCTCTGATTTATTAGCCTAGTGCTGCACGATACGTGGGATGAAGGACATGCCTTGTGCCTACTCTGAAATACTGCTCACACTTGTTACCTCTGAACTACAACATGTGTGTGACTTGTGCTTTACTGGATATTGTAGCAGACAGCAGGCTGTCCTCACATACCATTACATTAACACAAACAATAGATTTGATTTGTCCCACAAAGGTGAGAGAGAGAGAGCTGTTGACTTAGATGTGAGACTTAATAAGTAAAGGTCTAAAGTGCAGTTAATATATTATATTGTAAAAAATACACTTAGTTGTTTTTAAAGGCAAATACCATATTTATTTATCTCAGTGCCAATAAATGTGCCTATTTTTAGGCTAAGAGATGTAAAGAATATATGTTTAAATACAATACTCGGCACACGGCCATACAGTAAACTCTGAGATATACAGCCTCACATTTCATTTTCAAAATAATAAACCACTTTTAAAAATGTACAGTAGACTAGCCATCCATCGTCAACCGCTTATCCTGCATACAGGGTCGCGGGGGGGCTGGAGCCAATCCCAGCTGACATCGGGTGGAGGGCGGGGTACACCCTGGACAGGTCGCCAGTCCATCGCAGGGCCACACATAGACAAACAACCAGTCACACTCACACCTAAGGACAATTTAGGGTCACCAATTAACCTGCATGTCTTTGGATGGTGGGAGGAAGCCGGAGCACCCGGAGAGAACCCACGCAGACACGGGGAGAACATGCAAACTCTTGCTGTGAGGCGACAGTGCTAACCACAGCACAACCGTGCCGCCCTTGTACAGTAGAACAGAAAATGGAAAATATAAAAATTATTAGAACATTTTACAGACTGTCTTTTTAGATCCAGGGGATGTGAGGGATATGTTCAGACTTATGACCTATTCAGAACCCACAACCCTAAATCCTAAAGCCATCTGCACTGAAAAGGACTTGGTCTCAGCAGTGTAAAAACCCTAACACTGCTTTGAAAGGGACATGTTCAAAATGTGACTTGCAAACTGCTTAAGAAGACTTTAGACTTGAGTTTAGCCTTGCTTTGACATCACTTGAAGCTTAACTTGGACTTGCCCCAAAAGACTTACCTTAGTCCATCTCTGCATCTTTGGCCACACACACAATACTTGTTCAATTCATCGTTTGTTTTCATGGGATTTGTTCACAACAAGAAAAATTCAGAATATCACCAGACCTCCTTCAAAAACAGTTCTGGAAAAAGTCATTTGTGACCTGGGGAATATGACACACCACTGTTACCTATGTGGGAGGATTTATAGCACTGCTGAAGGTGAGTCACACACAGTCTTCATAAGTTTCAGGTGTACAGATGCTATGAAACACCTGTGGCTGGCTGGCTGCCTGTACAAGAATGTGAAGATATGATTCATACAAAAATGATGTGTGGCAGTGTAACTTTCACCACGACACTGTTGGCACACGTTTGGCTTTTGATGAAGTCGTCAACATTGTTAAATAGTGTCAAAATGATTTTTAGCATCTTCCTACATTTACAGGTGGGATGTTAAAATGCCCCGGAGCATGTTTTGTATTCTTTGCTTTGACTGTTGGTGAGTTGAATGATGCTGTTGTGTGCAAATGGCCCCATTAGAAAAAGATCACTGAGACTGGCATGTGTTAGATGCCGAAGGTGGAGAAATGTTTTACATATCCATGCCAGCATTTTCACCACAACATTCTTCTATAAGTGTATTTAATTGCTCATCATTTTCTGAAAACCTTACGTATGTCCCCAGTTTCTAAAAATTTCTAAAAACGGACTCAAGTTAGGTTTTATTTGGAACTTGGGGCTATTATTTACTCCTGGAGGCCCTGAATGAAGTATTTAGGTGAAGGTCCACACTTGCCAGCACTGAAACATACCTGACTAATATTGTTTCGCCGCTAGGTGTGTGGGTTTTACATGACACTCATTCATTTTTCCCTGAACTATGCATTTTTTATAGCATATCTGAGGAGGAAAAGTAGGCTTCACATCAGGCATGTTGCAATGACATCTTGTTTTGGCCTGGCCAAGACCAAAACAAAATCTTTGCCTTGCTAGCTGGATGTTGAAACTCAAATAAATAAGTGGAAAGTTGGCATAACACATACATAACAATACAATACTAATACATAATACATAGGTTATTTGGGTTGTGCAATATGTTATTTGTGGAACACATAGGCTATATAGGTTCAATAAGTCTTTGTGTATTACGTAGGTTATGCGCAATTTGTCATTTGTGCAATATAATATAATATGTGCAACATTTATGGTGGGCATTGCAGACTTTATAGGTTATGCCATCAAAAGCAGCCATTGTGAGAAGGTGTGAATGTGCATAATAACATAGGTATGTGTTGAGAAATGTCCATGTTATTGTTATTTTTGTGTTGTTTTTGTGAAGCTGGAGAACAAACAGAATCCAAAACTAATTTCCCTTCGTGGACAATGAAGAAAATGTTATCTTATCTATAATAGAGACAAAAAACATCATGCCACGTTGTTATTTGATTGCTGTTAAATCAACAGACATTTCGACCATGTGATAGCAGAAGCGTCCGTGTCACTAAAGGATTCATTCTGCACACATTCCACCCAACACAGTTTCAGACCGCAAGCAACAGATGTAACAAAATATCATCCATCATACGAAATTATTCTAGATTTAATTTAATATTGTTTAATCTTGTTTCTGACCTCTGTCTTCCTTTTTGTCTTTTGATCACACCACATTTAAATATATCAATATAACTTAAAATTAATTCTAGCCTGGAGTTTAATTCCTTAAAGGGTACAGATTTTTATGTGTACAATATTCCAGACTCCAGAATCCATGTAAACCAACATATGCATGGACCCTAAAAATGTATAACATCCTAAAGTGTGTGAATTAAACCAACATATGAACACCAATCAGGTTACAACAAGTTAAAGTTGCACTAACAGCTGTTCAAATGGGACAAACCCACAGAGAATTATTGTCAGCTCGGCAGTTCTCTTCAACTGTATGGACTTTTACAACACCTTTCAGCTCATGGTTTTAGTTTTACGGCCTGCAACTTTATTGTTTTGGTCCCCCGCTTGTTTCTAGCCTCAGCAAGGAGCTTATCTCTGCAAGAAAGCGCTAGTAAACTGGCACATTACCTGCCCAGCTCCACACAGGCAAAGTTAGCAACTAGCTGCTGAACATTTAGCAGCAGGGGCGAGCTCTATACCACAATAAAACAAGATTTTTTTCAGTAATTTGAAGTTGTGTACCTGTGAACAATGCATTTCTCAGCTCCAGTGAGAATGAATGTAAATCTGACAGAGTGCAGTCATGGTTTGTGTGGGAGCGTGGTGCCAAGCTCAGAGTGCGAGTCAGGCCTCATTGCCACTGAAAAGCTTAAAGCATGTAAACAAAGTCATCAAATTCTCAACACAACAACTTTAGCCTTTTGCAAAAGACGTCTTTTATAAAGAAACAACATTTGTGTATAATGTATGCTCACAAGTCGCCCTTCTTTATGAAGTGGATTTGTGGGTCTGACTGCACCAGGGAGGAAACCAGGAGGAATCTGCTGCTGAATCATGATGCTCACAATTCATAGCGCTGCGCCATATTTTG